CCTTTCCACTTAGTCTCACATAGACCAATGAGATGCCATGTATACCTTTCCACTTAGTCTCACATAGACCAATGAGATGCCATGTATACCTTTCCACTTAGTCTCACATAGACCAATGAGATGCCATGTATACCTTTCCACTTAGTCTCACATAGACCAATGAGATGCCATGTATACCTTTCCACTTAGTCTCACATAGACCAATGAGATGCCATGTATACCTTTCCACTTAGTCTCACATAGACCAATGAGATGCCATGTATACCTTTCCACTTAGTCTCACATAGACCAATGAGATGCCAAGTATACCTTTCCACCTAGTCTCACTTAGACCAATGAGATGCCATGTATTCCTTTCCACTTAGTCTCACATAGACCAATGAGATGCCAAGTATACCTTTCCACTTAGTCTCACATAGACAAATGAGATGCCATGTATACCTTTCCACTTAGTCTCACATAGACAAATGAGATGCCATGTATACCTTTCCACTTAGTCTCACATAGACAAATGAGATGCCATGTATACCTTTCCACTTAGTCTCACATAGACAAATGAGATGCCATGTATACCTTTCCACTTAGTCTCACATAGACAAATGAGATGCCATGTATACCTTTCCACTTAGTCTCACATAGACAAATGAGATGCCAAGTATACCTTTCCACCTAGTCTCACTTAGACAAATGAGATGCCATGTATACCTTTCCACTTAGTTTCACTTAGACCAATGAGATGCCATGTATACCTTTCCACTTAGTCTCACATAGACCAATGAGATGCCATGTATACCTTTCCACTTAGTCTCACATAGACCAATGAGATGCCAAGTATTCCTTTCCACCTAGTCTCACATAGACCAATGAGATGCCATGTATACCTTTCCACCTAGTCTCACATAGACCAATGAGATGCCATGTATACCTTTCCACTTAGTCTCACATAGACCAATGAGATGCCATGTATACCTTTCCACCTAGTCTCACATAGACCAATGAGATGCCATGTATACCTTTCCACTTAGTCTCACTTAGACAAATGAGATGCCATGTATTCCTTTCCACCTAGTCTCACTTAGACCAATGAGATGCCATGTATACCTTTCCACCTAGTCTCACATAGACCAATGAGATGCCATGTATACCTTTCCACCTAGTCTCACTTAGACCAATGAGATGCCATGTATTCCTTTCCACCTAGTCTCACTTAGACCAATGAGATGCCATGTATACCTTTCCACCTAGTCTCACATAGACCAATGAGATGCCATGTATACCTTTCCACTTAGTCTCACATAGACCAATGAGATGCCATGTATACCTTTCCACTTAGTCTCACTTAGACAAATGAGATGCCATGTATTCCTTTCCACCTAGTCTCACTTAGACCAATGAGATGCCATGTATACCTTTCCACCTAGTCTCACATAGACCAATGAGATGCCATGTATACCTTTCCACCTAGTCTCACTTAGACCAATGAGATGCCATGTATACCTTTCCACTTAGTCTCACATAGACCAATGAGATGCCAAGTATTCCTTTCCACTTAGTCTCACATAGACCAATGAGATGCCATGTATACCTTTCCACTTAGTCTCACTTAGACCAATGAGATGCCATGTATACCTTTCCACCTAGTCTCACATAGACCAATGAGATGCCATGTATACCTTTCCACTTAGTCTCACTTAGACAAATGAGATGCCATGTATACCTTTCCACTTAGTCTCACTTAGACCAATGAGATGCCATGTATACCTTTCCACTTAGTCTCACTTAGACCAATGAGATGCCATGTATACCTTTCCACTTAGTCTCACTTAGACCAATGAGATGCCATGTATACCTTTCCACTTAGTCTCACTTAGACCAATGAGATGCCATGTATTCCTTTCCACTTAGTCTCACTTAGACCAATGAGATGCCAAGTATACCTTTCCACCTAGTCTCACTTAGACCAATGAGATGCCAAGTATACCTTTCCACCTAGTCTCACATAGACCAATGAGATGCCAAGTATACCTTTCCACCTAGTCTCACATAGACCAATAAGATGCCATGTATTCCTTTCCACTTAGTCTCACTTAGACCAATGAGATGCCATGTATACCTTTCCACTTAGTCTCACTTAGACCAATGAGATGCCAAGTATACCTTTCCACTTAGTCTCACTTAGACCAATGAGATGCCATGTATACCTTTCCACCTAGTCTCACATAGACCAATGAGATGCCATGTATTCCTTTTCACTTAGTCTCACTTAGACCAATGAGATGCCATGTATACCTTTCCACTTAGTCTCACTTAGACCAATGAGATGCCAAGTATACCTTTCCACTTAGTCTCACTTAGACCAATGAGATGCCATGTATACCTTTCCACCTAGTCTCACATAGACCAATGAGATGCCATGTATACCTTTCCACTTAGTCTCACTTAGACCAATGAGATGCCATGTATACCTTTCCACTTAGTCTCACTTAGACCAATGAGATGCCATGTATACCTTTCCACTTAGTCTCACTTAGACCAATGAGATGCCATGTATTCCTTTCCACTTAGTCTCACTTAGACCAATGAGATGCCAAGTATACCTTTCCACCTAGTCTCACTTAGACCAATGAGATGCCAAGTATACCTTTCCACCTAGTCTCACATAGACCAATGAGATGCCAAGTATACCTTTCCACCTAGTCTCACATAGACCAATGAGATGCCATGTATTCCTTTCCACTTAGTCTCACTTAGACCAATGAGATGCCATGTATACCTTTCCACTTAGTCTCACTTAGACCAATGAGATGCCAAGTATACCTTTCCACTTAGTCTCACTTAGACCAATGAGATGCCATGTATACCTTTCCACCTAGTCTCACATAGACCAATGAGGTGCCATGTATACCTTTCCACTTAGTCTCACATAGACCAATGAGATGCCATGTATACCTTTCCACTTAGTCTCACTTAGACAAATGAGATGCCATGTATACCTTTCCACTTAGTCTCACTTAGACAAATGAGATGCCATGTATACCTTTCCACTTAGTCTCACTTAGACCAATGAGATGCCATGTATACCTTTCCACTTAGTCTCACTTAGACAAATGAGATGCCATGTATACCTTTCCACTTAGTCTCACTTAGACCAATGAGATGCCATGTATACCTTTCCACTTAGTCTCACTTAGACAAATGAGATGCCATGTATACCTTTCCACTTAGTCTCACATAGACCAATGAGATGCCAAGTATACCTTTCCACCTAGTCTCACTTAGACCAATGAGATGCCAAGTATACCTTTCCACCTAGTCTCACATAGACCAATGAGATGCCAAGTATACCTTTCCACTTAGTCTCACTTAGACCAATGAGATGCCAAGTATACCTTTCCACCTAGTCTCACATAGACCAATGAGATGCCAAGTATACCTTTCCACCTAGTCTCACATAGACCAATGAGATGCCAACTATACATTTCCACCTAGTCTCACATAGACCAATGAGGTGACAACTATACCTTTCCCCCTAGTCTCACATAGACCAATGAGATGCCAACTATACATTTCCACCTAGTATCACATACACCAATGAGTTGACAACTATATTTTTCCACCTAGTCTCACATAGACCAATGAGATGCCAACTATACCTTTCCACCTAGTCTCACATAGACCAATAAGATGCCAACTATACCTTTCCATCTAGTCTCACATAGACCGATGGGATGATAACTATACCTTTCCACCTAGTCTCACATAGATCAATGAGGTACCAACTATACGTTTCCACCTAGTCTCACGTAGACCAATTAGATGACAACTATACCTTTCTACTTAGTCTCACTTAGACCAATGAGATGCCAGCTATACCTTTCCATCTGGTCTCACGTAGCCCAATGAGATGCCAGTTAGACCTTTCCACCTAGTCTCACATAGACCAATGAGATGACAACTAGACCTTTCCACCTAATCTCACATAGACCAATGGAATGCCAACTAGACCTTTCCACTTAGTCTCACTTAGACCAATGAGATGCTATCTATACCTTTCCACCTAGTCTCACGTAGACCAATGAGATGCCAACTATACATTTCCACGTAGTCTCACATAGACCAATGAGATGACAACTATACCTTCCCACCTAGTCTCACATAGACCAATGAGATGCCAACTAGACTTTTCCACTTAGTCTCACTTAGACCAATGAGATGCCAACTATACTTTTCCACCTAGTCTCACGTAGACCAATGAGATGCCAACTATACATTTCCACGTAGTCTCACATAGACCAATGAGATGACAACTATACCTTCCCACCTAGTCTCACATAGACCAATGAAATGACAACTAGACCTTTCCACATAATCTCACATAGACCAATGAGATAACTATACCTTTCCACCTAGTCTCACATAGACCAATGAGGTGACAACTATACTTTTCCAACTAGTCTCACATAGACCAATGAGATGCCAACTAGACCTTTCCAGCTCATATTGTAGCTATGCTAGCTTGCCAGTCTGCATTAAAGTACGGACATTCTAAGTACCAAAAACTGCTGTGTTCCTTCCACGTACACAGTTACCTCTCGTTTTGATCAGCAGCCAAATTTTTGCGTCTGCCCTGATCTGGGACGGATGGCGCGTTCCTTGGTAACTCGGGTGACAACCGAGCCGGTGTAGTATCTGATCTATTTATAAGTCAACAGCATGGTGCGTCTAGGGCAGTATTTCAACCCTGACAGAGCCCATTCCTCTCCAGGTGGCCATTTCTCCCGTTAGCCTGTATCCTCACGGATACAGTTTCCAGTCTACACCACGGGGAGGTGGGGTGGGCTTGTGCAGTCAAGTAACAGAAGCAGGCTACTAATTTTTACTTTTCACCCCCAAAGGAGAGCTAGCTGCCCACAACACCGCACGTTAGTTTACAGATGTAGGTTTTATGATTCCGTTAAACTGGGCCGTATATCATGACTGTATTTGTATATTATATACAGGTCTGGAACAATGAAAATTATTCATTCCCTGTTGATATATGGGAATTTGGGGCTACACTGTATTATATTATTTCTAATATGGTAAGTTTCAACCATTCCTCCTCCTTCATCATCATAATATAATCATCATCCTTCTTCTTCTGTATCATCATCATCTTCTTCTTCTTCTTCCTCCTTTTCTATTTCTTCTTTTTTCTTCATTTCTTCTTCTTTTTCTTCTTCTTCTTCTTCTTCTTCTTCTTCTTCTTCTTCTTCTTCTTCTTCTTCTTCTTCTTCTTCTTCTTCTTCTGCTGCTGCTGCTTTGCTGATATTGCGTTTTCTTTTCTTTTTTTTTTCTTCTTCTGCGACTGCTCCTGCTACTGTTGTTTCTTCTTTTTCTTCTTCTTCTTCTTCTTCCTCTTCTTCTTCTTCCTCTTCTTCTTCTTCTTCTTCTTCTTCTTCTTCTTCTTCTTCTTCTTCTTCTTCTTCTTCTTCTTCTTCTTCTTCTTCTTCTTCTTCTTCTTCTTTTTTCTTCTTCTCCGCTTCTTCTTTTTTGTTCTTCTTCACTCGTAAAGGTCACTTTTCCCCACCTTCAGGCATATTGGGCATACAGGACTATACTTGTATTTTATCGACCAATCGGCACTTTATGGATGACGTAGTCAGCATTACACCGGCCGCCTTTACTTCCCAGGCTTTCCACCTGCTGTAATCTCAAGACTGGGTCGACTTGGGAGACAATGTCATTTTTGAAAAATGTCTGGCTTCGTCAGGACCCGAACCCACAGACTTCCAGTCGGCAGGCCAGCGTCTAGCCGCTCCACCACCGTGACTCCCCGCTTACAAATAAGTCAAGTTTTCGCACTGGCAGTATCGTGTTTTAGGCAAACCCAGACCCTCCCAACGATGCTCAACGTCAGTTGGGACAGTGGACACCCCCCCCCCCCACCCCTTTAGTATCCGCGCCACGGTCTCGACCTACCTAAATACAATACTGTCCCGACGATATGGCCAGCAAACTGTCAAAGCCTACAGCGACCGCAAATAAACAGCCGAGTCTGTTCAAAGCAGTAAGTTGTAATCACCTGTCTTCAATGGCGATATTCTAAAGATATAGTAGTTTCAATCGCTTAAAAAAGAAAAATAACTGCAAGAAATGATGGATATAATTTAACAGAAAGTGAAAACAAAGGTCTTAGTTTGAAAAGCAGTAAAATAGAAGTAGTGGTAATAATTAAAAAAAACTGACCCTCAAAAATTCAACAATCTTCCCCCCCCCCCCCCCCCCCCAAAATGGGACAAACTTCAAGCAAGTTTATACGTTTAAGTACGTGAGTACCCTGATAACATCAGAGGGAAGATGTGTTAAAGAAGTTGTCAAATAGCTCAAGCAAAATCGAGACGAGAAAGATAATTGTTAAAAGCTATATAAATCATATGTTGATATACAGATGTGAATCATCGACATTTCGTAAATTAGTGAAAACTTGTTTGGAAGCTGCGGAGATATGGTTTTATAGACGAATGATGAGAATACCCTGGACAGATAAAAAGGAGTAATGAAGACGTCTTGAAAGAAACTGACTTACGAAGAGAACTAATTGCCAACATCAGAAAGAGACAATCTATATTCTTTGGTCATGTGATGAGAAGGAGAAAACTGGAGTACATCGTAACTGTAGAAAAGCTGGGGAGGGGAGGGGGAGGAGGAAAGTAGGTGGGAAAAAAAAGGGGGGGGGGAGAGACAGAGGGAGACATAAATAACAGATGCTGGACGGCTTGACATCGTGGCATGGAGGATTATCTGTGTTGATTGAAAGATTGAAAGTACACGAGACAGAAGGTTGTGGAGAGACATGACTACCAACGTCACACGGCTAGGACAAGCTCGGTTGCCTGGTATGCTGTGATGCTGGGAAGTCTGAAGGTGTCAATGACTCCTTCGGTCCTTCGTCTTTTTGGTCGTCTCTTACCTCTTGGTGTTGTTACTTTCATTTTGTACGCTCTTGTTGTTAGCATAATTGGATTCATTCTCACTTTAAGGCCAAACAATTTCAGTTTTTCTAAGTCACTAAATGTTATTATGGTTGTTTTTCCAATATTGCAATTGCTTCGTTTCTCACATAATATCTTCTATTTTTGATTATAGTCTTTCTCAGCCCGGCTCTCTAGCGAAGTTGGTTAAACCCTGACTTTCGCGGCGGCCGGATGACGAACTCCTTGTGGTCCTGGTTCACTCCCGGGGGTAGGCAGAAAAGCCACATTTCTCCCAGATTAACGGTACCTATAATGGAATCAATGCCGAAGGGTTGCGATATCCATAGGGTTTACAACTCATGGTTTCTGGATACGTTAAAAAAAAAATAGTCTTTCTCAAACATCTTATTTTGCAAGTGGGAAGTTTTCTTTCGTGTTCTTTAATCAATGTTCAAGTCTGATACTAATAGCCCATAGTTGATATGCAGATTACATTTATAATTTGTATTTTTTGTCCTAATCGGGACAGCTAGGTGTTTCACAACTGGGGTCATTTATATGTGACATTGTTGGCTTGTTGGATTCTTGTTTCAGTCTCTCTGTCTATTCTGACACCTTATGTAAATGTGTTCTCGAAGTATTGAAAGTGTTGTTCTTTATATAAAATCATGACATGATACGATAAATCATGTGTGATACGTATGTTGCAGACTTTATATGTGTGTGCGCATATAAATATATATATATATATATATATATATATATATATATATATATATATATATATATATATATATATATATATATATATATATTTTTTTTTTTTTTTTTTTTTTTTTCTGTGTGCAGTGGCCGTTCGTTCACGCGGTTAGAGAGAAGCATATTCAGCAGATCTTATCTGGCAAGATGCTGTTCAACTCCAGCTTCAGTGAGGTCGCAATAGATTTACTAACTAAAGTGGGTTGTTTTCCATATACCCTTTCTTTCTTCTTCTTGTTTTTCTTCCCCCCCCCCCCCATCCCATCCTCTTCTCTTCCTTCATCTTGTTTTTCTTCTTCTTCTTCTTCTTCTTCTTCTTCTTCTTCTTCTTCTTCTTCTTCTTCTTCTTCTTCTTCTTCTTCTTCTTCTTCTTCTTCTTCTTCTTCTTCTTCTTCTTCTTCTTCTTCTTCTTCTTCTTCTTCTTCTTCTTCTTCTTCTTCTTCTTCTTCTTCTTCTTCTTCTTCTTCTTCTTCTTCTTCTTCTTCTTCTTCTTCTTCTTTTCCTTTTACTTCTTCTTTTTTTTCCCATCTTCTGTTAGTACATACATTCGTTGTTCTTCTTTCCAGCATAGTTATGACGTTTACTCAGATTTTTTTTTTGTTTTTAAATCGGCATAGTTAGTCTTCCAGTATATCGTAGAATGATGTCCATGGGAAAAAAAAACGTAACATATGAAATGTTACACTTGAAAATGAAATTTGCTGCTCGGACAAGAGAAAACATCGAGGTCTGAAATGATCATCTGATCATTAGGGGATCTAAACTTTCCTGACCTGATAATCGTGAGCATGGAAATGACAACAATATGTAAAACAACATTTGTGACGCTCACTCGTGACGGACTTGGGTATGCATTTGAGTCGTCCACAGTCGAGTCAGTAACAGCATCCCCTCTCATTTTCAGTTAAAATGATCAGAAACCGGCTGCATGAAGCTGGTCTTCGGGCTCGAAGAACCTGCAGAGGTCTTGTGTCGATGGCAAGAGCCGAGTACAGTAGGCAAACAAGCATCGTCAATGGACCTTTGGGAATGACTGGAGGAGGGTTTGGTTAATTGACGAATCACTCTTTATGCTCCTGGGTTATGATAAACGGAGAAGAGTTTCCCGCAGTGTCATGAGCGCTACGCCCAGAACTGCTTGGATAGATACAAGTCTGATTTCAGTGTTACTAATTTCAACATTACAACATTCAACATGTTAAAACAGCAAGATCAGCCGGTGCATGACGGTATTGTTGACTTGCTTGGTACGTTCTTGGGACACCATTAAGCATCAGTAGGAGTGACTCTTATGGGGACTCCACAACAGGAGAAGAAGAACAACCAGCAGGGGCAGGGACCCCAAGGACAGACGACAGGACATAATTTCTGAACAATAGTACCCTAATGCTTTAACAAGAGTACCCCAAAGCTTTAACAAGAGTACCCCAATGCCTCAACAAGAGTACCCCAATGCCTCAATAGGAGTACCCCAATGCCTCAACAAGAGTACCCCAATGACTCAACAAGAGTACCCCAATGCCTCAACAAGAGTACCCCAATGCCTCAACAAGAGTACCCCAATGCCTCAACAAGGGTACCCCAATGCCTCAACAAGAGTACCCCAATGCCTCAACAAGGGTACCCCAATGCCTCAACAAGGGTACCCCAATGCCTCAACAAGAGTACCCCAATGCCTCAACAAGGGTACCCCAATGCCTCAATAGGAGTACCCCAATGCCTCAACAAGAGTACCCCAATGCCTCAACAAGAGTACCCCAATGCCTCAACAAGAGCACCCCAATACCTCAACAAGAGCACCCCAATACCTCAGCAAGAGCACCCCAATACCTCAGCAAGAGCACCCCAATACCTCAGCAAGAGCACCCCAATGCCTCAGCAAGAGTACCCCAATGCCTCAACAAGAGTACCCCAATGCCTCAACAAGGGTACCCCAATGCCTCAACAAGAGTACCCCAATGCCTCAACAAGAGCACCCCAATGCCTCAACAAGAGTACCCCAATGCCTCAACAAGAGCACCCCAATACCTCAACAAGAGCACCCCAATACCTCAGCAAGAGCACCCCAATACCTCAGCAAGAGCACCCCAATACCTCAGCAAGAGCACCCCAATGCCTCAGCAAGAGTATCCCAATGCCCAAGCAAGAGCACCCCAATGCCTCAGCAAGAGTACCCCAGAGTCTCAACAAGAGTACCACAGGGCCTCAACAAGAGTACCTCCACATCGGATATAGGAACAACCACAGTCATAAATAACAGTCATATCCAAGACACCACTAGGAAGATGGACAGAGCCCTCGCACGCGTGACAACATCACCCACAGTAAGGGACAGCTAGAAACCACTACTGGCACACAAGACATCACCTACAGTTAGGGACAGTTAGAAACCACTACTGACACACGTGACAACATCACCCACAGTTAGGGACAGCTAGAAACCACTACTGGCACACAAGACATCACCCACAGTTAGGGACAGTTAGAAACCACTACTGACACACGTGATAACATCACCCACAGTTAGGGACAATTAGAAACCACTACTGGCACACGTGACAACGTCACTCACAGTTAGGGACAGCTAGAAACCACTACTGGCACACGTGACAACGTCACTCACAGTTAGGGACAGCTAGAAACCACTACTGGCACACGTGACAACATCACTCACAGTTAGGGACAGCTAGAAACCACTTCTGGCACACGTGACAACATCACTCACAGTTAGGAACAGCTAGAAACCACTACTGGCACACGTGACAACATCACTCACAGTTAGGGACAGCTAGAAACCACTACTGGCACACGTGACAACATCACTCACAGTTAGGGACAATTAGAAACCACTACTGGCACACGTGACAACATCACCTACAGTTAGGGACAGTTAGAAACCACTACTGACACACGTGACAACATCACCCACAGTTAGGGACAATTAGAAACCACTACTGGCACACGTGACAACATCACTCACAGTTAGGGACAGCTAGAAACCACTACTGACACACGTGACAACATCACCCACCGTTAGGGACAATTAGAAACCACTACTGGCACACGTGACAACATCACTCACAGTTAGGGACAGCTAGAAACCACTACTGGCACACGTGACAACATCACCCACAGTTAGGGACAATTAGAAACCACTACTGGCACACGTGACAACATCACTCACAGTTAGGGACAGCTAGAAACCACTACTGGCACACGTGACAACATCACTCACAGTTAGGGACAGCTAGAAACCACTACTGGCACACGTGACAACATCACTCACAGTTAGGGACAGCTAGAAACCACTTCTGGCACACGCGACAACATCACTTACAGTTAGGGACAACTAGAAACCACTTCTGGCACACGTGACAAAATCACCCACAGTTAGGGACAATTAGAAACCACTACTGGCACACGTGACAACATCACTCACAGTTAGGGACAGCTAGAAACCACTACTGGCACACGTGACAACATCACTCACAGTTAGGGACAACTAGAAACCACCACTGGCACACGTGACAACATCACCTACAGTTAGGGACAGTTAGAAACCACTACTGGCACACGTGACAACATCACCCACAGTTAGGGACAATTAGAAACCACTACTGGCACACGTGACAACATCACTCACAGTTAGGGACAGATAGAAACCACTACTGGCACACGTGACAACATCACTCACAGTTAGGGACAGCTAGAAACCACTACTGGCACACGTGACAACATCACTCACAGTTAGGGACAGCTAGAAACCACTTCTGGCACACGCGACAACATCACTTACAGTTAGGGACAACTAGAAACCACTTCTGGCACACGTGACAAAATCACCCACAGTTAGGGACAATTAGAAACCACTACTGGCACACGTGACAACATCACTCACAGTTAGGGACAGCTAGAAACCACTTCTGGCACACGTGACAACATCACTCACAGTTAGGGACAACTAGAAACCACCACTGGCACACGTGACAAAATCACCCACAGTTAGGGACAATTAGAAACCACTACTGGCACACGTGACAACATCACTCACAGTTAGGGACAGCTAGAAACCACTTCTGGCACACGCGACAACATCACTTACAGTTAGGGACAACTAGAAACCACTTCTGGCACACGTGATAACATCACCCACAGTTAGGGACAGCTAGAAACCACTACTGACACACATGATAACATCACCCACAGTTAGGGACAATTAGAAACAACTACTGGCACACGTGACAACGTCACCCACAGTTAGAAACCACTACTGGCACACGTGACAAAATCACCCACAGTTAGGGACAATTAGAAACCACTACTGGCACACGTGACAAAATCACCCACAGTTAGGGACAGTTAGAAACCACTACTGGCACACGTAACAACATCACCCACAGTTAGGGACAATTAGAAACCACTACTGGCACACGTGACAACATCACCCACAGTTAGGGACAGTTAGAAACCACTACTGGCACACGTAACAACATCACCCACAGTTAGGGACACTTAGAAACCACTACTGGCACAATAAATCTTTTAAGCCATTAAACTTGACTCATGTGAAACCAGACCGTAATTATAACCGAAGCTTTAGAAGAGTTGAACGTGGTGAATTTTTTTCACTCTCCAATTAACAACAAGTAATGACAATAAGCTTCTGGTGTGAGAAGCTGGAGAGAAAGTTTTTTTTTTTTTTCTCTCGAAAAAAACAACGGTTGTGAGCAGACACGACAAGTAGAACCAGGTTTGGATATAAGAAACATATATAACGGACATATTGGTACTTTTCTTTTGGTTCACCCTATCTCGAGAACTCTGAGGCTTCATTGGGAGTTCCCGGGAAAGTCCAATATAATGGTGAGAGGTGGGGGTGGGGGTGGGGGGGGGGGGGTTGTTTAGGTCGGTGTTCAATTTAAACAGTAACACCCCTATACGCTTAGCCTTTTCCGGGAACCTCCTACGAAGTCTCAGGTTCCCCGAGATGGGGTGAACGAAAATAATATAACCCATATTTTTCTTGTGATATTCACAGATTATTCAGATCCAGCCCAGCTCGAGACCCACCCCGCAAGCAATAATAAAGCATAAATATTTCGAGGACATCAAGAGCCCTTACACGCCTCCGTTTACGCGTGAGTTGTCATCTTCGTCGACTGAATGCCCAAATTGTGACCTTTTATAGTATAGTTCGAACTCCCACCCCTCTCTGTCTCTCTTTCCTTCTCTTCCCTCTTGCTCTCCCTCTCTATCTCCCCCAATCTCTTCCCTCTCCCTCGCTCTCTCTCTCTTTTCTGTACGTGTTGTGCCTGTGAGTATGTATTTTGTCTGTGTGAAAGTGTTGTGTCTGTGTGTAAAAGTGTTGTGTCTGTGAGCATGTATTTTGTCTGTGTGAAAGTGTTGTGTCTGTGTGTAAAAGTGTTGTGTCTGTGTGTAAAAGTGTTGTGTCTGTGTGAAAGTGTTGTGTCTGTGTGAAAGTGTTGTGTCTGTGTGAAAGTGTTGTGTCTGTGTGAAAGTGTTGTGTCTGTGTGTAAAAGTGTTGTGTCTGTGTGTAAAAGTGTTGTGTCTGTGTGAAAGTGTTGTGTCTGTGTGAAAGTGTTGTGTCTGTGTGAAAGTGTTGTGTCTGTGTAAAAGTGTTGTGTCTGTGTGTGAAAGTGTTGTGTCTGTGTGTAAAAGTGTTGTGTCTGTGTGTAAAAGTGTTGTGTCTGTGTGTAAAAGTGTTGTGTCTGTGTGTAAAAGTGTTGTGTCTGTGTGTAAAAGTGTTGTGTCTGTGTGTATAAATGTTGTGTCTGTATTTTCTAATTCTGTATGAGTTGTGTCGGTGTGTGTTGCCAGTCCGCGCGCCTCTGTGTGTATAAGTAAGTGTGTTTGTGTATATGTGTGTGTTTGAGTTGGTTCTACTGCCTTTCTTGTTTCTCTGCCTCGTGTGTGTCTGCAATGTATGTCTTGCGTGTATATTTGAAGGTATGAAATTATCAACTATTCTTTGGTATTTTTAATTTACATTTCATACTATTAATATTTTGATATATTGACATATAAAATACAACTGCTGTGAGAAAGATGACTGTTTGAAAGGGTCGAATGTAAGATGGGCCTGCGAACCCAATTTGTGACCCTTATGAAATAAAGTTCTTTCTCTCTCTCTCTATATATATATATATATATATATAAAACTTGTCCCCTGCGTCGTTTTCTCTCGAACTTCTCTGTTGTCATGTCATACTTCATACTTTGTGTGTGCAAACAGAACCATCATATGAGGTGTTACATTTGCTAGGCAGACATGCTGACCGCTCTCCAATCCCTGGGCTTCCTACAAGTGTTAAAGCAGAAGATCAGTGAAAAACAAAATCTATAGCACCACCTACTTCATTGTGTAAAATGACTGTGTCACCAAGCATTTATGTAGCCATTATGAATGTAGCCATTATGAATGTAGCCATTAAGAATGCTCTAATAACTACTTTTTTTAAGGGTGAACGGGATATGTCAGACTGGTTACGTTGGTTTGCCAGCTAGGATGACATTCTTGAAATCTTAAATGTTATCAAAACATCGTTTTACTTTTCCGAACTTGAAAACAGACGACAACCAGTATGAATTAGTCACTTTTTTTCTCATTGTTCAGTTCATTGATGCTGTCCTCGTGTTTATCAACTATTGGGCGCTAAATCACCTAGGGGACTTAAAATCCAACACAGTGTTATCTAATATCTTTGAGTTATGGCTCTTGTCACTATCGATTTTTTTCTGGTGGGGGGGGGGGGGGGCACAGTATTTATTTCTGGTGGCCACACAGGTATTCAGGGGAGTCGTCTTGGCGTTAGCGGCTAGACGCCCGCCTGCGGATCGCAAGGTCGTGGGTTCGAGTCCTGATGGAAACGGACTGTGTTTCATAAATGACTTTGTCTCCCAGGTCGACCCAGCCTCAAATGGGTACCATGTGCTGTCCTTGGATGTAAAGGCGACCGGCGTGGTGCTAACCACATCACCCACCAAGTGCCGACTGGTTTATACAGCTTAGGTCTAGTCCAATATTGCTAACACACCTAAAGGCGTGGGAAAGGGTCCTTTACTTTTACACAGATATTGAGATATTCTACTGGCCAGATAAACATGTTATTCGAGAAATGTCAGTGTTTATTCTTGTTAGTGGTTGTGGTAGTGTAGATTTATACATAAAGTGTGCTGATGAAGGCTATCTAGCCCCAACATTCGCTTGCAGTTTGTGTTTGTTAAACTGTGAGGCTGACTGGTTCTACTTTCCTTTTGGTTTGATATCTGTACCTGATATCCACAATTATGCAAGCTATTTTTATATCAACAATTTTGCAAGCTATTCACACAACAAAATATTTTTTTTCGTTATTATTTACAGTCATGTTACAACATCCCGTATTATTTCTCCATCGTTACTCAAGTTATTTCACTACAGTACTATATTGCCATCCTCGGGCCAAATATATAAAAATATTGATATGCTGTGGTAATAAAATACAATTTTAGTTTGAAAGGGCCAAATGTTAGACAGGTCTGTTTGCCCACTTTGTGATCCTTTGAAAATAAAGTTCTTTCATTCATCTACTCAAACTGATGCAATGCTTTTTTTTTAAAACTTATTACACTTCTGGTATCCTTTGATGTATCCACAGCTCACGAACTGCAAGAGATGTACCATTTCGGAGATGAAGAGGCTTTGGTCAGAGAACTAGTCGCACAACTCAAGTAGCAGACACCAGCCTCTTTCTGTGCTCGAATGTTATATTTAATATTATTGGGATCATGCGAGAAGCAACCACGAACTGCCTGTAATGATTGCCTGAGTCCTACTTGTCTATTGACTTAGTTACAAATTGTCTATAAGGATTAATGGAGGAATCATTGTCTTTTTACACAGTTACAGACTGTCTATAAGGATTATATGTGTCTACTACGTCTGTCTATTTAGCAATTTACAAACTGTCTATGGGGGATTTCGGCGTCTACTGTGTATATTTACACTTGTAAACTTATATGAGGATCACTGGAGTCTACCATATTTATTTACACATTTGCTATGGTCTGTAAGGAGTACTAAAGTCTCAGAATACCGTGAACAAAAAAGAGAAGAAAAACTGACATTTTAAAAGATTTGAACATCGAGAAAGATTGGCTAATAAACAGCATCTTTTCTCGGAAGCTGAAACATTTTGGTCATATCGAGTGCCATTGCAGATTGGAAAAAAATTATATCAAAAGGCATGGTACCAGGAAGGAGGTCAGGGGCCGACCAACACGAAGATGGGCACAGGATACAAGTGACTCCTTGAATATGAAAGTACACGAGATGGGAGAGTTGGCGAGAGACCGAGTTTCTTTCATGCAGACCGTGATGAGAGCGATGTTTTGCAAAGGACCTACATTATGATGATGCCGTCTAATTACGCACTTGCAAACTGTCTATATGCATTAAAGGAACCTAGCTTGTCCATTTACACAGTCACAAACTGTCTATACGCATCACTGGCGCTTACTCTATTCATTTACACGTTTCAAACAGTATATAAGGATCACAGGAGTCGATCCTGTCTATTTACAACACTTGCAAACTGTCTATATGGATCACCTTTTTATTTCAAACTGTCTATCCTATCCATTTACACAGCTGAAGCTGTCTTTAAACATTGCTGGTGCCTACTTTGTTTATTTACACAGTTACAATTTATCTAGAAGAATCATTGGAGTCTGTCCTGTCAATTTACAGTCTCAGACTGCCCATAATAATTACCAGATTTATCGATTTACTCAGTGACAAACTGCCATTAAACGGATTACCAGAGTTTACTATGCCAGTTGATCCAGTAACAAGCTGCACATTAAGTTTAGCATCAACCCTGCCACTTTACTAGGTTTCACGTTGTCTGTAAAATTCACTATAGTTTACCTTAATAATTAACCTAATAATTTACATATTTGTAAATTGTCTATAAAGATTTCTTGATGTTGTCCTGTACATTTACAAATTTACAAACTCTTGTAAGTACAGCTCCTAAAACTGGTTATAAATTTAATAAAACATTTTGTTGTTTTGTTGTTAATCTGTAATATAAATTAAATGTCCGCACTCTGAACTGACATGTAAGTTACTTTGAGATTATTGAAACGTAATCATACAGCAGAGGCTCTGTTTATAAAATGAACCTGTTGTTAAACGTTTGTACCTGTTTCATTGTAGTGTCATCATCAGGTAGCCGGTCCTTTGCAAAATGTCGCTCTTACGGTCTGCCTGAAACCAACTCGGTCTTTCGCCAGTTCTCCCACCTCGTGTACTTTCATTTCAAGTAATCACTTATATCGTGTACCCATCTTCGTGTTGGTCGACCCCTGAAGATGGAAGCAGGGTATAATGTTGTGTAACAGATTAAAATTGAGTTGACTGATTTTCCAGATAAAGTCTGCTCAAACCAATCAGATGTATCTTTCTCATAAATATTAATTTAGATCGATTTCTTGGATATTTTTTTTATAATATATCGATAATTTCGACACTGAGTGGAAGGAGAGCCTGAGCTGACATTTCTGCAAACAGTAGTTACTCACAAAATGTATTTGTGAACAAGAGATTTTATGTACCAGCGATAATCAAATCTTTTCATGGTTTACACAACTGGCATTATTAAATTTGGTCACTAGCAAATATCTAACAGTCAACATTGCAAGAGTCATATAGAATCAATGCTCGTCGATGACAGTGCTGTCTAAACGGTCACTGAACACCCCTTAATGGCCAGCTGTCCTCTTCGAAAGTCGGTAGAGAAAAAAAAAGAGAACTGGACAAAGAATCGGAGTGTAAAACTTTCATCGATACTTTTCCGTCTTTCCAGACGGCAGTGCTATATTGTTTTGTAGAAAAGTATGGGAAATAAATTATAATTAGGATATCAGTACAGTTCGGAAAGTCCTAGAAATAATCTCCAACAAAAACACACTGAGTCAAAACAAAGAGCTCTTGCACTTTATTTACTCAGGAATCAGTATCCTTCAAATATTTGGACACCTGTGTTCACAGATGGTTTTGTTAAATAAGTCACAGACAAGCTTTTTGGGGAATGAATCTACATGACACGATCTAACGATAACACAGAGACACGCTCAAGAGCGGAATGTGAATCTTGCACCAACTTCAGACCAGAGGCAGCAACCATTCTTTCACTGTACAGACTCCCGATGGTTCAGTTTTACTAAATAAAAAGCTGTCATATTCAAGGCCTTAAAATACCCTCACAACCTCGCCCCCCCTCCCCCACCCCCACCCCACACCCGAGCCACTTCATGTTCCAAGAAGGACATCTTCATCTATAAAATAAAAACACACATTAAGCATTAGAATTTTCTTCACAAGAACAGAACTTTCTCAGCAATGAATTCCAGCCGACTATGGTATCTCTATAAATAGAAGAAAAGATGAACTCATAACGGCTATATCTTCTCATCCTTACGTCCTTTTTAGGGCGTAATTTTTTGTTATTTGAAGCCACACTCTGGCTTTTGCCAGGGGCCGCAATATAGGCAGGCCATAAATATGGCCAATTGTCTGAACGCGGTTTCTGGGACCTCTCCACGGTGATCCTCATCCACATGGTGGCACTTTGTGTCATCGGGTGTTTATCGCTTGTGTGATGTCCTAGTGGAGTAGAAAGTCAATCAACTCATAACGGCTGCAGGAAACCTGGTGCGGTCTCATATATCCCAGGTTTTCGAAACGACAAAGACACTCTTATCACAATCTGGTTAGTTGCGTATCTTTTACAGGTCGTTGCAGAACCAACCCCAACAGTCCCTGGCTATTGTATGGTTTTTCTAGGCAAATTTACTTCCAGTAGTTTGTCATTGCTTTCTGGAAGGTCAGCTTTCTTGATACCACTGTCGAAACCAACGCAAAGCGCATGGCCCGCAGCTGGGATCGAACCCAGCATCCCGGCATTACGAAGCGTTCGCATCGACTTAGCCACAGAGCCGACTAAACATTATGTGCTCTTAACACAATCTACGAAATCAAAAAACAATCTCTGCTCTTAACACAATCTACGAAATCAAAAAACAATCTCTGCTCTTAACACAATCTACGAAATCGAAAATCAATCAGTGCTCTTAACACAATCTAGGAAATCGAAAAACAATCTATGCTGTTAACACAATCTACGAAATCGAAAAGCAATCTATGCTCTTAACAGTCTACGAAATCGAAAAACATTCTGTGAAATTGAACGTGCATCATTCCATTTGTTTGGTTACAGAAGGTATATTTCAAGACGAAGAACAGACTCAGAAACTTGGTGACAACTAAAAGACAGTAAAGGACGTCGCAGAGCAAGGAGATTTAATGATGACTTAACCGCAAATTTTGGGCGGAACAAGAGCACTGACCTGATCCATGATTCTTTTGTTCATGTAGGCTGCGAGAATAATGACCGTCTATGCTTATTGGCATGGCACATGTTAATAATGTTTGTTGGTAGAAAAAATGGTGGTGATGGTGGGTTTTAGACACACTTTTCTAGGTAATGACATTATGAAATGGGTCGACCATTTCCACACTTTGTAGCCGACCTTTTCGGGACAAACCTATAATAGCTGTAGCGTGTTCAGCACCAATGTTATGTGGCTGAGGTAACTGTAGAGCTTTACTGGTCTGGCCCAACACCTTGTTGATGTATTTGTTGTTGCTGTTGTTGTTGTTGTTGTTGCTGTTGATATTATTGAAAACATAACAGCTTGTTGAAAATTCATTGAAAATAAAAGAATGGGGAGGGGGTAGGGGGGAGAGAGAGAGAAAGAGAGAGAGAGAGAGAGAGAGAGAGAGAGAGAGAGAGAGAGAGAGAGAGAGAGAGAGAGAGAGAGAGAGAGAGAGAGAGAGAGAGAGAGAGAGAGATAGAGAGAGAGAGAGAGAGAGCGTGCAATATTGAATTGGTTTAAATCAGTCAATTGAATCCACATGTCGTTTACAAAAGGTCGCTCTCTTTACGGTACGCCGAAAAATCCCTCGTTCTCTATACAATTCTCCACCCTATATGCTTTCTTCAATGTCATGTGTCCATCTTTACTTCCTTTTCCAGAAACTGCACTCTCCATCACCGATCCCTCCAGCCCACCATGGCTCTTGATTGACATGGCCACAAAACCCCAGGTTTCCGGGGAAACGGTTGGCTCCGGATACCACTGTCGAACCCAATGCAAGATGGTCTGCTGCGAAATCACACATACATTTGTTAGTCCTGGGTTATCTTGCAGTCATTGAGGAAGAAATATGAGGGTTTTTCAGCTGAAATGTTATAGAAAGATTTTTCGAATACCGTGGACAAAGAAGAAAAGAAATGCTGTAGCTGGTATCGAACTAAGCATCTCGGCATTACGAAGTGCGGCGGCAACGACTAAGCCACAGACGCCGACGTGTGTGATACAGCTGGCCCAGAATATCGCATTTCGTAAGCATCTACTTGGTCTGGCTACGTAGCACGTTTGTTATGGCTGCGAAGCCTAATCATTATTTGAGTCAATTGTTGTGTGTTGAGCTCAAAGCGGACATAACAGCACTCGGGAATTCCAAGAAGAGCTCCGCCCTCATCTTCAGCAGCCAGCGAAGAGTTCCAGTTATGATGATACCAAGAGCAGTTTGACTGTTTGTCCGTCTCGCCTTTCTTCTGAGTATAGAGTGTCGACCAGATCCCCTAGTCATGTCTAGCTATAACA